GGGACACAGAGCCACCCCCGGGGTCCAGGCTATGGAATGTTTTGGGGTTAGGGTTTACCTGGCACCTTGGAGCTTTCTGATAAATGAATCCCACATCTCCCGAGGTTGTCAAAAGTGCTTCATGAATTTTTTGTTGCTGCTTAATTGTTGACACGTTAACTCTTGGCTACAGCGTCATGGTAGGTAGGGAAGCTGGGCATAAATAAATGTGAGCATTTGTTCCTTTAAAGCGGGAGGGGAAAAGGTGTCAGGTCCTGTGTACCCTGCCCACCTTTGCTCTGTCCGTGGCTGAGGACAGAGCGAACCTGAGTGAGAAATCCGTGCTGTTCCTGCCCGGGGACAATGGGAAAGGTGAGCAGGGCACCTGGCGGCCTTATTGGGTTACACCTGTAATCTGCCAGAGCTCCAGCAAAAAATTAGGTGAGGAAGATTTTTGCCGCTGACCTTTGGGCGAACTCGCATGAAATGTGTTCCGCTTTGCTTGGGTGGATGTTTGCGACCTTTATGCTGGGAATTGCTGGATGAAGCCGTGTTGAAATATGATGCTGTTGATGGGGTTAATGCATTTGAGGAGGACGTGCAGGCGATTTGCCCCCTCCTCTCCCCTCTTTCCCCGCCTTTAACACCACCGAGCATCATTCGGAATTGAAATAGTCCATAATGGTCCTTTTTTTTTTTTTTTTTCTCACTTTTCTTTAACAACGTGAACGCTAAATTATAGCTGTGCAATTATGTAAACAATGGGAATGCTTCCAGAATGAATGCTTCCTTTTAAATTTTCATTTTGCGTAATTGCCGAAAGGTTTGGAGCCGTAATAAACCAAAATTATTTTACACATTTAGCGTTCTAAAGGTCAATTATGAAAGAAGCAAAGCAACAACACCGTGCAGAATGAGTAAACCAATTTCCCCGGCCATCACCCCATATGTTTTTCCTATGCCTTGTGTTTCCCAGTTGCTGTGTACACAGCGTTCAATTAAAGTGATTCATCGGCCGGCCTGGGAGCTGCTGCCCGGAGTTTGTGTGTGCAGGGAGGGAGGGAAGGAAGCAGGGCTGTGTTTGAATTCCCTGATTTTGCCCTGTCACTGATAGCACAGATGTCCCGGCTCCCCAGGCCTCCCTCTGCTGATAAGCTGGCAGAGGGGACACACCTGGCAGGCTATCTGTGCTGGGCTGGTGCTGGCCCTGCCTGAGCCGTGGGCTCGCTGGGTGCAGTGACCCCGGGTGCCCGGGGTGAGGTGCTGGGTGCCCAGAGGGATGTGCTGGGTGCCCGGGGTGATGTGCTGGGTGCCCTGAGTGATGTTCTGGGTGCCCAGGGTGATGTGCTCGGTGCCCTGAGTGATGTGCTGGGTGCCCAGGTGAGATGCTGGGTGCCCGGGGTGATGTGCTGGGTGCCCAGGTGAGATGCTCAGGTGAGATGGTGAGGTGCTGGGTGCCCAGAGGGATGTGCTGGGTGCCCAGGTGAGATGCTCAGTGCCCAGGTGAGGTGCTGGGTGCCCAGAGGGATGTGCTGGGTGCTCAGGTGAGATGCTCAGTGCCCAGGTGAGATGCTCAGTGCCCAGGGTGAGCCCAGCTGAGCGTTTTCGTGTCATACCCACCCTCGGGCTCCTGCTGGGGGTCACTGCAGCCTGCAGCCCCTGCTGGGAATTCAAAGGGAAGCCTTTGCAGAGGGAGTTTCTGCACGGTTTCTGGCTATGGAAAATAATTTCTTTTTAGCAGCACTGCGTCTGGTAAGGGGTGAGTAGATCCCTGGAGTTTTCTGTGTGCTGCCCCAGCGTTCCTGTGTGACAGGAGCTGCTCGGTGGCCCCCCGTGGGAGGGGTCGTGTGGCAGGTGGGAGCGCTGGGGCGGGGACAGGCGTCGTTGCAGTTGTTTGCAGCAGCTCCAGGCGAGCCCGGGCTCTTTTATCGTGGCACATGGCAGCAGCAGCCTGCTCCCATCTGCTGCCCTGCTTACCTGGCCCTCACCTGGCCCTTACCTGTGCGGGTGTGCTGTGCTAGGCCAGCCCGGAGCGTTAATCAGCCCTTCATTAGAGCGAGGTGGGCGCTTTGTTGTGCGCCGAGGCAGAGTTTGCTCCCCCGGCTTTATGAGCGGCTGCCTCCATCTGCTCTGCTGCCCGGTGTTTGCACTGACCCCTATTGACTCCCAATGTATCAAAGGAAGTGATTAAAACGAGTTTAAACATTAACTCGAGTGCCATTCCAGCTTATTCGGGAAAGTGAAAGCATTATCTGCTACCGTGTCAAAAACGAGGGCTGTTTATTTATTTGGGTGTGCAGCAGTGATGTCGTGGGATGCTGGTGTGGCAAACACCTGCTGGAACACTGAGGAGGGGCTGTGCAGGTGTGCAGAAAATTGTGGTGATGTTCAAGCATCTCTTCAGGTAGAGAAAATTGGGAAGTCAGCTTTGGCTTCTGCTGTAGAGATTGGGTACGTGGGCACGTTCTGGGGGTCTCTAGGTCAGGCTGTCTCTGACACTACTGAAACCAGTAAGGATGGACATGGAAAAGCTTTTCAAAATGTTATTGAGTGGAAAATAATCATCTACTCTGGAACTATAATCTAGAATATATATTATATATATATATATAATCTATACTCTGTATAGAAATAGCTTGATGTAACTCTTCAGCAAATACGGTGTTGCAGCTGAAGGATTATATGGATTTTATGCCTAATTTGAAACCTGCTGAAAGCTTGCAGGGAGGAAATCCTGAATATAGGAGCTTTGCAGTGGTTTGGAGAGACTGTGAAGACTTGGGACGTGGAGGGATGAAAGATGAAATGCTTTATGTGCTGTGCACCACAGGGTGATGGTGAGCCAAGCTGGGGCTGCTGCCCTGCTCCTGTGGCAAGGAATTCTGAGAGATTGGGGGAACTCACTCCTCTGGAATGCTGCAGATCCTAAATCTTAAATCCAGCCAGCGTTTGGAATGCAGAGTGTTGTTTAACAGAATGGTTGTGCTCAGGCACGAGGGGAGGTGAATGCCAGTGTGGGCTTTGAGCAAGATTTGAGGGGTACAGACTTTACCAAAATACCAAATGCACTTGGGCTGCCGGGGGGTGGCGATGGCGTGGAGGGCACTTTGCACACAGGGCTCTGGGGATTGGCACCTCAAAAATGTGGGGCTAGAGAACCTCAAAGCTAAATCTTCTTGAACCTCAAAGCTGAATCTCAAACCTCAAAGCTGATTCTCCTCAAAGCTGATTCTCCTCAAAGCTCAGTTTCCTGCAGCTGTCCCTTTTGCTTTTGGGGCTTCCTGGCTTTTCTCACAGGTGCCTTGTGTTGCAGGACATCCTGAACACGGTGGTAAGGCACTGCCCGCCGTGGTTCTTCTTCCTGGGGCTGCCTGGTTTCACCATGCTCATCGGGGACTTCCTGGGGGCGGCGGCGCGGGTGCTGAGCACGGACTCGCTGGAGGTGAGGACACCCCCGGGGGGGGATCCCGGGGCTGCGGGGGGAGTCCTGGGGTGAGGGGGACACGCTGGTGCTGCAGAGGGGTTGGACCCAAAGGCTGAGGTGTGCGAGCCGACACTGAGAGAGGGAGCAGGGAGCTGGCCGGGTGACACCGCACCTCTGGCTCAACGTCAGCACCGGCAGGAATGGGACTCCAAACTATTCAATTATCCAGGGAAAAGTGCAACAGCGAATCGGCGAGGGGCCGCCAGAATAAAGGTGAAGGTGTGGCAGTGCTGGCAGCAGCAGGAAGGTTCTGCTGCAGGTGCAGCACCAGCTCAGGGGACACTTTTCTGTCCCTTCTGCCTCAGGGCTTGTGGCGTTTGTGTGGCTGGGCGGGTGGCCCTGTGCAGGGTCACAGCCCTGTCCCGTTCCAGCAGAGCTGGGATGCTGAGCCAGCCACCCCTCTCCCGTCAGCCCTCAAAGCTTAAATGCTAACAGGGAACGGATGCTCAATTTTCCATGGAAAAAAACCACAAAACGCTCCCTTCCCTTTCTCCTGCCTGCCCAAGACCGGGTGTGTGCAGCATTTCCGAGGTGACACAGCACTTAGCGTGGTCACAGCTCGTGCTGGGGCGCTTTGGGTGGCTCTCTTGGGGTAGGGGTCTCCCTGCACATCCCCATCACCTCTGCAGCCGTGGCTTCTGCACCCGCTGTCTCTGCCACAGGATCACCTCGCGGCAGGGCTGGGGTCGTGTTTCCCCCCCGTCCCTCGGTGCTCCTCGGGGGCTTCTGTGCTCTCTGCCCGCATCTCAAGGCTGATGCTCACTGGGGGTCGTGGGGGGAAGTAGTGACCGTGTGGGGTGTGCCCAGGCGTGGAGGGGCAGCTCAGCCTCCCCAGGAGAGCCCTGGCCTGGGAGCTGGAGGTGGCTGCAGGAAGGGTTTCCAGGGAACATTTTCCAGGGAACGTTTTCCTAGTGACCATTTTTGCCTCCTTGCCCTTGGCCAGGCTCCCCGCTCCGAAGCTCACACCATCCTTGGTGCCCTCGTGTGCTTCCCAAACACCTACCCGGGGATGCCAGGGCTGGGAGCCGCCCCCGAGGCTGGTGGGGAGAGCGTCGCAGGAGCTGCAGATGTGAAGGTAAAGCCACGTTTATTGTAAACCTTGAGGTGACCTAACCTGGTTTCACTGTGCAGGGATTCGTGCCCCGGTGGTGGCCCTGACACAGAGCTCTGTTGTTTTGGACAAACTTGAGGCACTGTTCAAAGTGAGGGATGGCTGGGGAGGAATCTCCGAGTTCCTCACGAGACCTGAGCAGGCAGAAATCCCTTCACACGCTTGGCTCCTGTTCCTGCTTCTTCCTCAGGCTCTGCAGGGTCACTGCAGGTGTCTTACTTCGAAAATTAATCCAGTTTTATTTTGTACTGAACAATTCACTGCATTTTCACAGCGTGTTTTGGTTGGTTCACATGGAGTGACCACCACTTGTCGTTTGTAACTGCCCCTTGACACTGCAAACGAATGGATTTCCTCTCGCTGCCTGTGCATGAGTTGTAAGCTGATTTGATTGGATTTGATCTGTCCACAAGGGCCTGTGTATCTGTGCTGTAATCGGTGTTTCTCCCTTGACAAAACAGAATGGGAGTAGCAAAACAGAATAGCATGAGGAAAAGGTGCTTTAGTGTCAAACAGAGAATTAAAGTGACCTCACCTGTAACTGTCAAAATCAAACAACTTTGACGTAGATGTATGGAAAAGATGCTTATTCTAATTTATTTTGTTATTTTAGTATTGCCTCATAAATATTTTATTGAAGAATGCTACAGAGGAGCCAAGTGAAGCTGCAAGGTAAAACACCCAGTAAGAGAAATGGGAAAATATCCTAGAACTGGTTAGGTTGGAAAAGACCTTTACCGTGGTCAAGTCCAACATTTTATGGCTTGGAAAAGCCTTTTCTGCTGCTTGTCTTCTGCTGCTGCCTCGTGGTTTGGTGCTGTGAAGTTGAGTCTGGCTGCACCGTGAAGGTGCTGGAGGGGAGAGAGAGAGAGATCTCACTTTTGTGCATTTTTCCCTTTTTTTTTCCCCCCTCTAAATGTTGCTGTACGTGTCCCGAGCAGCTGCCTTTTCCTTCTCCCAAAGGTGCATCGCCATCTGCGGGCTGGGCGTGTGGGTGTGCGAGGAGCTCACGCAGCGCACGGGCCACCCCCACGTCAGGAAAGCCATCAATGTCATCGGGGTGACACTGAAGGTACTGCTGTGCTGGCCTGCTCTGGGGGGGGGAAAAAAAGGCATTTGCACTTGGCAGGGGTGGCCGGAGGGCTGCTGCCGTGGTGTCCTGCACGGGAGGTGACAGAGTGTCAGACCTGCACGTTCCTCGTGCTGACAGCACAGCGTTGTTCCTTTCCGGCAAAATCACGAAATGTAGAAGAGCTGAATACCTGGGTGCTTCATCTGGCTTGTAATCACCTCTTTTTTTTTTTTTTTTTGTTTTTCTCCCAGTTTTCCAGCAAGGTGGTAGCTCAGGTAGCCTGTGATGTCCTTCAGCTGCTGGTGTCTTACTGGCAGAAGCTTCAGGAGTACGAATCCTCCCTGTGCCGGAAAATCACCGAGGTGCGTCGGCCCCTTCAAAATGCCTGGAAAATGCGTGGAAATCGCCTGCAAAGTTGTCTTCATCCCTTCCTTGGGCTGCTGTGGGGGTCTGGGATTCTGACCCCTGCTTTGTTTCACTGCTAGGGATGTGCTCGCTGCACTCCCCGGGCCAGTGCAGGTCCCTGGTTTGTCGCGATTTGTTCGCCAAGGGCTCAGTGAACCTTTCCTTGCCCTTGGCCAGGGGCTGGCTCGGGCAGTGGGGCGTTTCTGGGAGGATTTCAGCAGCCCCACGCCCCGTGCAGTGAGGGTGTGTCTGTGCAGAGCAGGAGGCTCTCTGGGTGCCTCTGTGACCCGGGCTTTGTTTGGCTGCAGATCCTGGTGGCCACCATCGCCTTTCTCCTGCCCGGTGCTGAACACTCGTCCCTGGAGGCAGACAAGAAGGTGTGTGTCCCTGGCGAGAGCTCTCTCCGTTCTTTGGGCTCTTTGGGGGGGGTTGTTTAATGAGATGGCTCTGACCCAGAGTTGAATTTTGAGCTTTCCAACTCGTGGAAGCCTCAAGTCTGGGGGGGATTTAATGGGATGCAGCTACAGGTGCTCCGTGCTCTTGTTCAGTTCGTAGTTTCGCTGCTGCTTTGCCTGCTGGACTGGTGCATGGCCCTGCCCATGAAGATGCTGCTGGAGCCCGTGTCTGCTGGGGCTGTGGAGGAGCAACAGGCATCCAGAGCTCCTCTGCTGGATTATATTTACAGGGTGAGTCGGGGGAAGGAAGGTGGTTTAAAGGTGCCTCTCACACACCCGGGGGGCACAGGAGCACTGGGAAAGCCACGTCATCCGGGTGAGGAGCTACAAATGCAAAATGTTAAGAAGATAAGGTTGGAGATGTAGAACGGACAGGGAATGGTGACAGCAAAGGTAAACAGCAAGCTGGGGAGAGGAATCTTGGCAGAAATATTTGGATTGTTTGAGGCGGGCTGTTGAAATCCAAAACAAGCCCTGAGGCAAGCTGTGAAAGCAGAGGATCAGAGCAGATGGAGAGTGTTAATTTAGAGGTGCTGAATTTGGACCCGGCTGGGTTGTGCAGTGTGTCACAGCTGTGCTGGGGACTGTCACAGGCTCTGTGTCCCCTCCAGGTGCTGCACTGCTGTGTCAATGGCTCCGGCACCTACACGCAGCAGAGCCGCTCCGTGCTGGGCCTGGCCGACCTCTCCTCTGCTGACTACGACCCCTTCCTGCCCCTGGGGAGCGTCAGGAGCTGCTCCGAGCCCGCCCAGGGACCCTCCTCCACCGACTTGGGCAACCTGCTCACCGTGGCTGAAGGTGAGGGCGTGCCCCGGGCCTGGCCTGGGTCACTCTGGGGGGGGTGCGTGTGGGTTCCAGGACCCATCTCTGCGTGGCTCTCTGTGCAGGGACTCCAGTCGCCTCGGTGACAGCATGCTGGGGTGGCTCCTCGGAAGAAATTTGTGTTTAGGAGATGTATAGGGGAAGGGAAAGCCTGTGAACCAGAGGGTTTTCCAGTGAATATGAAGACACGTGGGAGCGAGGGGGGTTTTGTGGCTGCGGGAGGAGCAGCAGTGCCAGGGGAGAAGGGGGGGCACGGTCACTGCAGCAAACACCTGCTGCGTGTGCCTGGGCCCAGGGGAACACCTGGGCCACCAGGAGGTCACACTGGACTGGCCCTGCTGCCACCGAGGGAGGAGCATGGCTTGGCAGTGACACCTCTGCTTGGCCTGGGCCTCCCTGCCCTGTCACCCTCTCTGGGCATGG